TTATTTGATTCAGACAAGCTGGGGTAGAGGAAGTTCTAGTCATACTGTACAATGTGAAATTAATTATCTAGAAAAGGTAGCAAATTTCAAAATTTGTTTTGGAGATAATTTTCAAACCTGTGTAAATTCTGCACAATCAGCAACAGATGCAGCAAATGCTTATTTAAAAGTAAGTCCTGAAAGTCCCAAAATAAAATTATATCAAATAATTAGTATTTATATTAAATTAAAACTTCAATTAATGCTATATTGTATTTCAAACTTTCAAAAGGTAAAGAATCCTAACACAAAAGCTAAACTTTCTGGAGTTCATATTTTTTGTCTTAATTGTCAAGAATTAGAAAGAAATCGTGAAAAAAAACATAGAACATCATTTCACAAACCATTTAATGACCTAAGTAACACAACAAAAATCAAGCGAGCACGTGTATTTAGTGAACAAGTGGCAGTTAATTTTAATAATATAGCAATCAATTGTTTTCATCCTGATGATAAACCAGTATTACAAGAAATCCATTTTTCCATTCAAGGAAAAAATAATTTTCAAGCTAATTTTGGAGCTCAAGATATAGAAAAGGAAAATCAAAGAAATGAGGCATTTACCAAAGTAATTGATCAAGGACCTATTGCACGAAACTCTTATCGAAACCTAGCTGCACTTCAACCTGAATTACCACGTGAAAAGGCTATTTATAAAACAAAAAAAAAGATTAATGAAGAAATGAACCATGCAATTCCTGTATCAATTTTGAACATATCAGAGCTTTCACCTCTCAAATCAATTAATGAGGATCCAAATATTAATGATCCAGAGGTTGTAGAAGTTTTAAAATATATTGGCAAAGCTGGATATCGTCAAATTACAGATATTTTACTTTTTATAATTCCAGGTCTTGTAAAAAAACACATCCTTAATCCTGATAATCTAGTTATTAATTTGCGTATATCTGGTGATGGTCGCAATGTAGGCAGAAAAGTGAAACATGTGATGGTCACATGTGCTGTTTTGGATGATATATCAAATATTTACAAGGCTGATTTTCATTACACCATTATTTTATATCCAGGTGTGGAAAATTATGAAATATTACAAAAAGTAATGGAACCAATGATTAATGAATTACATAATTTAGTAACAAATGGTTTAATAGATTCTAATGGAATAAAATGGAGGATTGAACCTTATTTTAGCAGTGATTTGAAATTTTTAACTATTATTTTAGGTTTTAATGCTGCAAATGCTAATTACTTTTGTCCATGGTGCTTGTGCATGAAAAAGGATATAGGTAATAAGGAAAAGGCTTACAAAATTGAAAAAAATATGGATCAATTACAAACTCCAAATCCACCACCTGGACATCTTAAAGTTCCTATCCTTCCTATGATCCCATTAAATAATTATGTACCTGATGAGCTCCATGTAATGTTAAGAATTTGGGATCGAATGTGGGCCTTAGTAATTCAAGAACTCAAATCCAAAAATCAATTTAATGATCATACTCGAGCAAAAATTATTGCTGAAATGCATAGAATTTCAGTACGGTTTCATTTTTGGCAAGACCAAGGAACACAAAACTGGGCTTATACATCATTAATGGGTAATTTATTTATATATTTATTAATTATACATTTATTATATTTGTTAATTATATATATACTGTATATATTAATTTATTAATTATTTATTATATATATATACAGTATATATTAATTTATTAATTATTTATTATATATATATTAATTTATTAATTATTTATTATATATATATACAGTATATATTAATTTATTAATTATTTATTATATATATATTAATTTATTAATTATATATTTATTATATTTGTTAATCGTATATATTTTTATTGATTATATATTTATTATAGGAGGAGACAAAGAAATTGTATTGGAAAGTTTTAATTTTGAAGTTGTTTTTGATGAAGAACGTGCACCTTTAATTAATCATTTATGGAGAAATTTTTTTCATCTTTATAAAGATATGAAAATCCCTGGAACCAATCCAACTCAATTTTCAAATCAAGCAAAACAATGGTTAGATTTATTCCTTACTCCCTCTCAAGGTGAACCTAATACTACTACATTCAAAATGGGTCTTTATCGTCCAAAAGATGTCACACCATACATACATGTTTTAATTCACCATTTGCCTGAATTTATGGAACAACATCAACAATTTGGATTAGGTGCTTTTTCTTGTGCTCCTGTAGAAAAAAAAAACCATGATCAAGTTTCTGCATTTTTTCGAAAAACAATGAAAGATGGAGGAAAGGGAGCAGAAAGAAAATCTGCTATTGTTGAGATTTTAGATTATGAGAATCGGTTAATGTATTTTACTCATAAGGGTACTATAGAAAAATATCCCAAGCCACACAAGATTCACATTAAAAAGTTATAAAATTTATATATATATAGAAGAAATAAAATAATTTTTACATAGATTTAATAAAATTCAATATTTACTGCCATAAAAAATACATAGTATTTTTCTTGTAAAATATTAAATCATAATGAAATTTTATTTTGAAAGAATAATCTATTTTAATGATCTATACAATTATATATACATGTACAATCTACAATTAAACTTGTTGAACATGAAAATTTAAATGAATATATCCTGCTGAAGTTATATTGTCCTTTGCATCTTTTTTACTTTTTTTGTACTTCCATTCAACTGTTAATTTTGGTAAATTAAATTTTTTTAATCGATTTTTTGGAATACGCCTTCCATTTTGATCAAATATAGTTTCCTGGTTAGCTTCTACCTCAGCCCTTGCATCAAATAACACAACAAAGGTTTGTTGGTCATTATCAAAAAATTTGCGCCCCCAATTTGAGTTGCCAAGTAAATTAGCTATTTGTGTGTATGCATCAAGACCTTGGAAAAGGCACTTATAATTACCAGAACGATAGTTATAATAATGAATATAACCTTCAAAAACTCCAAAAAACAAACTTTCCAAACAAGGAAAGGAAATAGCTTGTCTACCCGATCGAGAAAAATGTCCTTTAAGTTTGCTTTGAATAACATGAACAAGATATGCTTTAAACTCAGTTATCACTTCAGAAGGCAATCTGCACAATCCTTCACGTCGCAGGTTGTATTTTCGTACAATAGTATTATGACGCGTTAAACCAGATTTAGTTTTGTATAAGATCTTACAAACTGCACATTCATAGTGTTGTAAAGCACAAGTGGGTGAAGAAGGTGGTGTAAGAACAGTAAAAACATCCATGTTGGCTGTATAGATTAACATAGATTCATTGTTTATATAGTACAAAAAAAAATAACTCTTTAACATAAATAATGTAACAACTTTTAACATTTTAGCTTACTAGCTTACTTGTAGTAAATTAGACGTTGGGTAGATGTTGGAAGGATTGGTTAGACGTCGGAAGGATTGGTTTGACTATAATAAAAAAATTAATGAATATTTGTTTTTCTGAATATTTTAAATATTTTGGGGTGATTTTCATTAGTTGATCAGTCAAATGGCCAATCACAGCTGCGGAAATAATTAATTGGGGATCTCAAAAAAGGTCTAAATGTAAAAATGCGCGCATATGTATGGATAATAATGATCCTTGCCTTTTTTGGATAGTATAATTTTATAACATAATAATGTATTATTAATTTATTTTAAATATTAACAACAGACAAATTGTTAACTATTACTATTTCTTAGCAATGATTGTTGTTAATGATTCATTCTGATGTCAATGACACTTATATATGTGTCCTTTTTTTTTATTTCTTTATAAGCTAATAATTGAAAGATTGTTGTTAAT